CTTTCCATATCACACTAAATGAGAGCAACTGGGAAAGTTCCCACTCGTTTCCTTTCTACCACCCATTAATTTGCAATGGCAGCACTCACAAACTTCAGTCTTCTCAACATCACTAGCAAGCACAGCTGCAGCCACTGTGAGTCAGGCCAGTCTCTCACATCTAAATAGTAATACTCTCCTTTGCAGGTTTCCAGGCCCAACAGTTTGCTAGATGTGCAGTGCACCCACATCAGGTTAGAGGGAAACACTGCTCTCCAAGGTTCCCTCTTCCTGCATCCGTTTTTCTTTTTGGAACGAACTTTTTGTCCCTGTAATTGAAGAGTGAGCTACAGTGCGAACTCTAGCTTCAGGGAACAACAAACTGGGCCTATCATACTCGGATTTTGAAAAATACAGTTTCTGAAACCAGTCCCATATCCCGTCTTAATTTTCTTACAAAATTCAGCTAACAAAAATTGCTTTTAGGAGATTGATTTTAACATTTATCTATTTTAGGAGATAGATTTGCTAGTAGGGATTGGTCATTTACATTAGGAATTATCCTTTTAAATCTGTGATTTCCCCAAGATTGAGCTAAATTCTTTGAAGCAACATCTAAAATATCTGATGAAACATTAGCCCAAAATAGAATTTCAATATAAGATATTTAAAAAGCACTGCACTTTCCTCACAGACCTGGATGTTCTCCTGCATGTTGCCTTCCATGGAGCTGCATCCAAAAGCAGAGACTCCTGAGGCTGTGTTCCAAGGCATCCCTACCACACGCTGTGGAGCTTACCCCTGTCCTCAGAATAATGTCCCTTCCTGTGAAACCAACTTCAATAAAAACTACGTTAAAGGGTAAAAAGCAATAAAGGCTTAATATTTACAAACACCACAGACTTTCACTTAGAGATTAAAAACTGCAACATACTCATTCCTCGGTGCTTCTGAAAATACCGACTTTCTGATTCTAGGGAAATATAATTTTAGTAACTCATCAACACAGAATACATAAAATTGGCATACTTTTGATGGGCACACAAATTGAGACAGCATCTCTCCCAACTGTGTTCTAGAAAATGGGATGCATCTGCTACGACAATATGTCCCCAAACGTGAACAAGAATCAGCATGATAAAAAGTTTTTTTTTATGTCTGTCTGTCTGTCTGTCAAAGCAGAACATTTGAAATACACGAGGAGGAGACATCGTTCATTTGCTAGTGTTTTTCAAAAGTGGTTTGGTTAAAGAAAAGATAACAAGAAGGCTACATGGGAGGCAGCAGTTTGTTAAGTTTAATCAGTGTATATGTGACTTTCAAATCTTCCTCTCAGCAGTCAAATCCATTTCCTTACTTTTGCTTAACATCTCTACCTAGTGTCAGAATGTAGGCACATATGTTGTTGGGACCTCATGCTGGTCTGGGGGTGGAAAAATGGGAAGTGTGTTGAAGAACATGGTTGATGCCAGAAACAAGCAAAGAATAAAACAAATTTTCAAGAATTTTCCAATGAATTGTGGTATTTGTTAGCTGCCTTTTTGTACAGTGATAATCAGAACATGATAATAAATGCTTTTACTGTCTTATCTTCTATGTGTGCCCCTCTGTGCTGGTGACCAGTAAATAAGGCTTCATGTGCTGTGACCTCCTCCCAGTGCCCAGATGTCTTGGGATGAGAAGAGAAGCTGTGAGCAAGGCAAGCTCCTGAGATGCACTTGGAAAGTAGGATGCTGAAAACCGAAGCCGGCCTCTGGGCACCTGATAAATTCAGTTCCAAGTTTCAATTCCTTTTCTTCTTGTCCCTCTTTGGAGGTGGGCTCAGTTCTTCAGCTGAACAAAAAGGCATTTAAAGATTACCCACTACTCTCTTCTTCACTCGTCGGAATTTAGGAAACACAGCAGCAAGCCACGGTAGAGGACACTCTCCACTGCGGGAAGAATAAGGCCCCAGGAGCAGCAGAGGCTACAGACAACCTGTTCCTTGCCCTTAGGTCTGTTTGTTCTGCCTACATTTATCTATTAATTTTTTAACTTTACTACAAATTTTAAAATAGTCCTCTGATGTCTACATTAAAATATTGGTTCCTTATAATGAAAACCTTCTTTAGAAATATAAAATGATTGACATGTGATTTTGAGTTAATAGGATGTGCAGCAATGCAGCAGAAATGAACATAGCTGATCTGCTGTGACAGTGTGGCGAGGACAGGGCATTTTACAACACATGCAAACTTGTATGCTTCTAGATTAAACAGATCAAAGTCATCCCCAAAGTTGAGGTTCAGAGGTTCGGAAACAGAGAGAATTGTGGGAAAGACTGAAAACTGACCCAAGTGCACATCTCTCTGTGATGCTTACTAACCGCACACCCATCCTGGAAAGGTCACTTAACTTCTTAGGACATTAGCTTCTAATTCATAAACCAAGCAGAACTTCTGCAGGACTGTAGTGAGTGCTGGATCTTGCAGTGCTCTGGAGTGCCCAGCATGGGTGGAATCACACACACTTCAGTACGGTCTCCAAAAACAGCTTAGATCTTCCCTACACGAAAGACATGCCAGGATTTTAAAGGAAAGTTGATGGTCTCAAAACTGTTTGGAATTTTAGCAAAGGGGAGGAACACAAAGGTGAATTCTGTTCTGTCTTTGATTTGGAGATATTTGCACATCCATACACTGCAAAATAACTTAACAAATTAACTTTCACCATAACATGATAGGTACCTTCCAAATAATTCTATTATTATGTGTTCTCTAATAGTTGGGAAATGTGAATATCAAACAAATCTCTTAACACTAAAATAAGTGTACATTAGAACTATATAGGAACTCAAAAACATTTCCTTTAACTCATAATATTTCTACACTATTCTTGCTGTCAACTTGACCGCACCTGGGATTAACTAAAACTGGAATGACTGGGCACATCTTTGAGGGCTCTTTTTTTAAATTAAATCCTTTGAAATGAGAAGAACTACTTCTAATCTAGATCTTTCAAATGGGAAGATTCGCCTTTAATCTGGGTCACACCTGCTGGCAGCCTATGTAAAGGACACGCAGGAAGGAGGCTCTCTCTTTTAGCCTGCTTGTTCTCACTCCTGCTAGCACATCCATCCCCACTGGCATGATGGTCTACCTTGGGATTCTGGCATATACTGAAGAGCAGCTCCTGGATTCTTGTACCTTCTGCTAATAGACAGTCATTGTTGATTAGACCACAGCCTGTAAACCATTCAATTCCCTTTATTCATCCTATAAATTCTGTTCCTCTAGAGAATCCTGATTGATACAGACACATTTTTTTAAAATCATTTTAAAAATACTTCCACTTTGCTTTTGAAATAAAAAAGAAAAAGTTCTATTAAGGTCTGTTTCAAGACAATAAAAGATGAAGTTATTCGGTCTTTCTCTGCCAGTTGTGTATATATAATCTGATATAAGAAGCTTTCTCTAGAACATCAAATGTTTGCTAATCAGAAAAAAAAGATGGATTAGACTGATTTCTGGCCCCCTTTTTTCAGAAACTACACTAAGAAAATAGTAAATAAGCTATATAGTTATTCTGAGCTCTTGACTCATATAATCAAAGGGTAAATTTCAACAATTGGCTGATTTTGTTTAAGCTGGCTATTGATTTACTTCAAGTTTTAATGTAATATCATTCACTTAATATGAGCACAATTATTGTAATGAGGGTTAATTAGGTAACACATACTAAAAGAAAACAATTAAGGCCCCTTGTAGAATTGAATATTTGAAATATTTTCCAACATGAACATGATTTAATAGACATTTATAAAAAGGAAAGATCCTTCTTAAAAACAGTAGGCGTAAACGAAGTCACCTACTGACCTAAAATGACTATTAAAACACGCGAAAAACTCGTCTGAGTAGTCAGCGTGATACGGGAAGTAGATGTGTAAAAGAAGCACATGCTTTGATGACTGCTAAACTTTAGAACATAGGAAAGTATCTACTTGAATAGCGTATCCTGTTGTTCCCTATACCACAGTGATCTGCTTCATCCAGCAACTAATGAAAACAGAGGCAGAGACCGCAGTGGAGCAACTGGACTCCCAAAGTCCAGTTGAAGAGTGGAAGGAATGAGAATATAAGCAGAGGTCAAGACCAAAATGGGTTCACCCACTAAAACAGTTAGCCTGAGCTAATGGGAGCTCACCAACTCCAGCAGGTTAGGGAAGGAACCAGCATAGGCCCAAACTAGTCCCTCTGAATTTGGTTGACAGTTGTATGGCTGGAGCAGACTGTGGGGCCACTGGCAGTGGCACCACGATTTATCCCTAGTGCTTGTGTTGGCTTTTGGGATCCTATTCTCTTTGGATGGATACCTTGCTTAGCCTAGATATAGTAGGGAGGGCCTTGGACCTCCCCCCAAAGCAATGTGCCTTACCCTCTCTGAGAAGTGGATGGGGGTGGGGTAGGGGATGGGAGGAGGGGAGGGAGTGGGATCTGGGATTGGTATGTAAAATGAAAGAAGGCAGTTCGTTTTATTTTTTAAAAGAAAAGAAAATATAAAAAGAGAAAGTTTCGACAAGAGAATATCAAGAAGTTAGCGAACTTCTGCGATAAATTTTAATCTAAGCCATAACTTCACGTTTCTGTACTCCTATGTCCACTTTGCTTCAGATGATGCCCCTTCCACAACGCCACCCACGGTTGCATTTCCTTTCCTAAATTTTGGAGGTTACTGCCTGTGTGTGTGTGTGTGTGTGTGTGTGTGTGTGTGTGTGTGTCTGTCAAGAAAATGCTTAATCGGGCATGTTGCCGGATACCTCCAAAAAGAACACCCATGCTAACTTCATTAAGCTACTCAAACTGTTTTTGGAGACAGGGGTTATTCTAATCAAAGTCAAGCCGCTAATAACGGGAGTAAAACGGGAGACCTTGTTGGGTCTCCCACATGCGCGCACACGCCGAAACCCTCTTTAGGGAATGGCAGTCTGAAGCTGGTGGGATGGCCCATAAGCTTGTCCCATGGTCGCGCCACCTGGTACTCACCTGGCTGCGTTCTTCGCCCTTAAGCAGAGCCTGGGGCTCGGCGGGACCCCGTGCGGCTTCTACGGGAGGTGGCGCCGGTTCCAACAACTGCTCCAGGCACGCGGTGCCGGGAAGAGAGGAGCTCTTTTGGTGGCACAGGTGCACCCCAGAACCTCCACGCCGTGCGCCTTCATCTCGGACGCGGTTCCCCCTCGCGGGCGGTTGGGGAGAAGAGGACAGAGAGGATGAGGCGGAAGAAGGAACTGAGTCTGGAGAGTGTCCGCCAGGAGGCGTCACTCCAGTTGGCCCCGCGGCCGTCGCGGGCCCCTTTGCCACGGGCAGCAGATGTTCGCGAAGGCGGCGGCGCAGCGTGGACCCCTGCTCGGCTCTGCCTGCTCCAACCGGCTCCAGGGCCTCCGGCGAGGAGCAGCACAGGTTGGGCTGCGAGGAGGAGAACACCCGGTCTAGCACTTGCTTCCGCTTCTTGAAGCCGCTCCACCTGCTGCCGGTACTCCCCACACCGGCCAGTGCGTCCTGGGTGGCCCTTGGGGGCGGCGGGGATGGGGTCGGAGTGGCCGCAGTGCGGCGCTCGGGCCCCACGGTGCGACCGCCCCCGCCGCCCTTGCCCTTGCCCACCCCCAGCTGCAGGTTCTTCCAGAGCCGGGCCTGAAAAGAGGGGGCCGCGGCGGGCTCATGTTCGCCAGCAGTGGCTGCCCGGGGCTCCATCCCGCACCCCAGGAACCTCCTGTGGCCTCCTCCTGGCTCTCCTCTGACCTCTCTGGCTGCGCCTCCTCTGGGAGTGTGGAGGCGGCGGTGGCAGCGTCCGTGACCGGCGCAGCAGCACAAGCCAGGAGTGCCCAGCGGCTTCAGGCCAGCTCGGAGCAAAGCGGCTGCGGCCGAGGCCCTGGGGCCGCGGGGTGTCGCCTCCTCCGCCCGCTGCACCTGCCCGGTTAGACTGGCGCCGTCCCCGAGCGCCCGCGGCGCCTGCAAAGTTTCGAGCACTGAACTCCGCCGCTCCAGTCCACCGAGTGCCTCCAGGCCGCGCCCTGGCTCCCTGTGAGTGCCGGTTAGAAGCTCGGGAAGCTGCGAGCACCCGGCGGAGGCTGTACAGGGGACCACACCCGCGCCCTCGGGCCAGCACCTGTCAGTGGCATAGGCTGTTGCCTCCAAATTGGGCGCGCACGTGGTTCACACGACAGGGCGCCTCTTGTCAGAGAGGCTGGGTAAGAGCAGCTCAGACTAAGGTGCCCAGGATCATCCTCTCGCTCCTAGGTGGGAGGGCAGGCAGGAGACGGGTGGAGCTGCATAAGGCCTGGAGCTGGCTTGACTTAGTATGGATCTACAGCTAACACACAGCTGACTTTAGGACGAACGGATCAGATGAAGTGCATCCAAGTGGAGTCTGTGTGCCCCTGCTGGGTACCTCAGGGAGCTGTGCGTGCAGTTAACCTCTCTAAAGGCTGCCTCCACCGTGTTGGGCATCCCGGGCTCAAGAGGCGAGTTTGATTTCTTCTGTCTTAACTTCATCACCATCCACCCTCCAGGCTCTTTGTTCGCCCGTGCGGCGACTTTCCTTATAATTAGGATCTAACAGTTCCCAGAATCTGACAATAAAGATAATCCTTAAAGTAAGTTGCAGGACGTTCCTCTTGGACAGAGAAGGGAGGGTGCCCACTGCCTGTGACCCTATTCAGAGTTCAGACTTGTTCTTTTCACTCAAACAGATTTTCTTTTTAGTTACTTACTGCAGTTTGTTAGAAGACTGATCAAAAGGCTTTTTTGGTAGTCTCGATTTTGCTCCTCCTCAAATCTATGCATCCAGAGTCTTCAGGCTCCACGAGAACGCGTCTGAAGGGTGAGTAACACCGCACCCTTCCCTCTTCAACTGCAGCTTTCTTAGACGCCTCAGCACAGTGCTGTTGAATTACTTAAATAGGGCATTCTCTCTCCTTTCTGCCCAGCAATTTGCCCTGGAGGTGTGGTCAGTCTTTCCAGATTGTATTTTCCTTACTCTTCTAACAAACATTTTTTGAGCTTGTGCGGGGCAGTGATCAGCACTAGACAAACAGTTGTGAACACACAAGGAGGACTTGAGTAGTGCTCAGGAAGTAAGAAACTAAATAGAATTTTTAAAACGAATAGCCCAGAGAGATAACAAAATGTTACCACAGCTGGATTTCTGGACTACAGAACATCCCATTAAATTTGAGTTTCAGACAAATCGCAACAAGTTTTAGTATGCATACATCCCAGATATTACAGTGAACAAGGGCCAAAAGTTTAGCCAGAGTCTACTTTACTAGGCATCTTGTATTTTTACTGAATCTAACAAGCCCATATTTAGAAGCTGTGTGTTATAATTGTGAGTGTAAAAAAAGCCTCTCTGAGAAGACTAAGTTTTAGATGATACTAAAAAGGAACAAAGAGCCAGCCACTGAAAATCTGAATGCAGTGTTCCAGGAAGAAAAATACCAGACGTGAAAGCCATGAGGCAGAAAAAAGCTTAACAAGACTTAGTCACACAGAGACAGAGACTGTTCCAAAGAGGGTGAAGAAAACTGGTCAGGCCTGGTCAATTGGGAGTAAAGGGTCTTCATAGACTGTGTTTGAAATTGCTGTAAATTAAATCAAGGACCATTTGGGTGTATCTAACTCATAGTCTACAGGCTAATACAGTCCAGGATAGCTATAAATATGGTCCAAGTTAAACAGTTTTTAAACTTGATTGCATGGTTCTTTAGCATGAACTTTGCAAATGACAGTGTGTCAGTGTCAAAAGGTTGGGGATGTCTGCTGGATTATTTTCAAACATGAGAATAATGTGAATTACTAATACATACACACTAGAACTATTTTGAGAATTTTGTGTCTTCATAAAGGACTTAGTCTCGTATATTGCTCACATTACTGTTCTAAGTTGATGACCTTATGCTTTGGGGAAAGGCAAAGAATCCATTAAAGATTACAGGTGGCATTTATATAACATTCTCCACATAATATTACATGGTTGGAAACAATGGTGTCCAGGAGGTATCAGATGAGTGAATATAAAAGCAGGTGCAAGGAAGTTCCCACCTGGTACTGATGGGCCACATTTTTTTATTGAGTGAAGCAGTGACTACATGGGTCTCCACATGAGAGAGAGATTAATAAAACTACTGGTGTAAGAGGTTTTTCTGTTCATGTGTTGCTTTCATTGGTTAATGAATAAAGAAACTGATTTGGGCCTGATAGGCAGAGAAGATAGAACTAAATGTTGGGAAGAAGGGCAGAGTGGAAAAAGCCATGGATCTTCTGCCTGAAATTGATGCCGGTTAGAATCTCCAGTAAGCCACTGGCATGTGGTGATACACAGATTAATGGAGATGGGTTAAACTAATATGGAAGAGTTAGCCAATAAGAAGTTAGAGCTGATGGCCAAGCAGTGTTTTAATTAATAAAGTTTCTGTGTGGTTATTTTGGGTGTAAGCTAGCCAGGCGGCTGGGACAAACAAGGCCCCCCCCCTCCACTTGTAACAATATACAAATACAAATATGTGTGCACACAAACCTTGATGAAATCTAAATGAGATCAGAGAAGTTTAACAACTGCAATAACCATGTTTTGGAATGACCTATACATTTGGAATGTATACGTCATATACATAAAACAGTATCAGGTGAATTTGGGTGATGTTCATAAATGAATTTTACACAGTACTTTTGCAACTTCCTCTGAGTCTTTATTTCAAAGTATAAAATGTATATTAATGGTAAAATTTGACAACATGATTTTTAAACACTTTGGAAGCTGTTAAGAGTTCTTAAACTTTGGTAGGCTGTTGAGAGTTCTCCGTTGGCACTGTAATGGCAATGTAATAATCAAGAACCACTGCTTTCCTTCATCTCTGTTCTTCCCAACCCTGACTCATCCCAGAATCAGTCCAGAAGGCTCTGAGGAATAAATGAGGGAAGAGCCAAGATTGTTCAGTCAGGTCACACTAGAGCAGGGTCCTGGCTTCTAGTGCTGTCTTGAAAGTGGTGAGGATTTCTTCAGGCAGTGCAAGCAACCAGTCACATCAGCTGCTATTGCAGTCTGCCCTTGTGAAAGGAGAGGTTTGGCATTTTACACTGGCTCCTCTTTCTTATTATTTCCATTTTATTTACTTTCATTTCTTTGAGAAGATGTGGAGGGTGGGAAAAAGAGAAGGAGAAAGAGAAATAATACCCTATATCTGTCTCTTACTAGACCTTCACACCCATGTCAGAATTGTCATGTTGTAACCTACAGGCCAGTTTATATTGATGGTCTTGAAATAATACATTTAATTGAATGGCATAGTTTTGTCTTTATTCCTAGTGGAGATTTGGCAGCTGATGACTCCTGAGGGACAGGGTAGATTGCCTGTGACTAACCCTACACCCATGTGCATGAGGGCAGCACTGATGGGCTCAGGGGTTATTGATTATTAATATCAGGTTTTGGGATTTCAAGAACATGAAATTGGGAGAAAGACATGGTGGGAGGCACTAGGGTAGCTGGAGGGAGAGGATGTTGGATGAATATGATTAACATTATAAAATGTAACTGTCCTTTAGACTGAATATTGTACAAGAATGACCAGTTGTGGTTTCTACTATCAAATGTCTTATATTTAGGAGATGGTAGTAGCAAAAATTCTATAACACCAATAGAAAGTAAGGAGTTCTGTGAATAGCATGCTTGTTGAACAAGCATAAGTACCTATGTTTACATCCCAAGATATCACATGAAAAGTCTGATGTGGCAACATATGCCTGTAATCCCAGAGCTGGGAGGCAGAGACAGTATTGGGGAGCTCACTGGCTAGTCAATCAGAGAGCTTCTGTAATACAAATTCTGATTGTTCTAAATAATAAAACTTGGAGTCAGCTATCAGGGTGAAAGCTGAAGGATTAGAGAAGCAGATCAGCCAACCACTAGAGAGCTCTTACCTCTACCAATGCTCAGACTAAAGGGGTGATTCTGTCTCTACCAATTATCAGACTGCATGCTCAAACTGAATTCTCAGACTGAATGCTATCTCCTGTCTCCTTCCACCTAATATTCCTCTCTCCACCAAGCCATATCACTCCTGTCTCTACCTCCCTAGCACTGGGATTAAAGGCATGTGGTCCCAAGTGCTGGGATCACCTTTGTGTGAGCTCTATTTCTCTTTTAGACAGATTCAGTTTCATGTAGTGGTATGGGAGGTCCCTCTGTCCTTGTCTGACCTCCGCAAACAATATAGCCCAGGGTAGCCTTGAATGCACAGAGATCTGTCTGACTCTGTCTTCCAAGTTCTGGGATTAAAGGTGTGTGCCACCACTACCTGGTCTCTATGGCTAACTAGTGGCTTAGTTCTCCACTCTGATCTTCTGGCAAGCTTCATTTGTAAGATTACAAACAAAATATCATTACATTTCCCCTTCTTGTCTAAAATTAAAAAAGAAGGCTGAAGCTAATAAAAGAAAAACTATATACAATAAGTACAATTAATACATCTAGTTCATTTGCATTTGACAAGTTCAGAAAAATACTGTTATCTATCCTACCTTGGTAAGTCCAAAATCTTGTATCTAGTTCATTTTCTATCATAACTTGCATTACCATTCAACAATATCTTTTGATATCTCTCAAATTTACATATTTTACATATCTTAGTGAGTTTCTTTTATGAGTCTGGCAAACAAGGGAAATTATAACTATCCAGTCTTCAACTCCCTCAGAGACCCAAGAAGGAAATAATATTAAATGAGTAATCAAGAAATGCAAGTAATAGACTTCAAAAAAATGTGAGAAATGACATAAACAACTGACTGCCTGGACAGTCACCCAAAATTCCTCTGCAATATTGGTGTATCCATATTCAACAGGCCTAGAATATTTAACAGACTTTTCTATGAAGTCTGTCCTGTTTTGTCTGGGCAAGGTTTGGTGGTAATTCTCTTTTGGGTCTTGCTTATTCAATTTGGACAGTATACTGTCAGCAATCAAGGCAAGAGCACTTTCTTGCCCAATGATTTATTTATTTATTTCTCCATCAAGGAATGGAGATTATTTGAAGCCCATTATCTACTCTGAAATAGATTGATGCTGCCAGGAGCAGACATGTCTCAGTGTTATAAGAAAAGAAACTATGTTATTAAAATAGCTTAAATGCCATATTCTATAGATCTCTGAAGTGTTTGAAGATGACTAGTCTATCTAAAATATATTTCTGTTTGGCATTGAAAATGAACCTAATATTATGACTAGTTTGATTATAATTACTATTAACTTGCATTCCTTTATTTTCTAGAAATTTATATTACATTGTTAAATGAGCTGTTTAGGTGCAATACCTTGAACAAGATTAGAACTGTATGTATAGTTTGGTCTAACAAAATTAATCTCAATTTTTTAATCAATGTAAAATATTTAAAGCAAATAATTGCTTTTTCAATTAAGAGTAGATTTTTAAAAATCTATGCTTATATCTTATCATATTAATATACACCTTGTTTCTTTTCAAAACAAGAGCCCTGAATCTAATCTCCGTTTTTCAGCTTTTTTTCTTGACTATTACAAACAACAACTTGTAACCAGCCCCCTTACACAATGACAGATATCCATAACCCAATGAGAGACCAATAACTACCCACCCCACTTCCTGGGAATGTGGGCATCATGTGCTTAAATTTACTTCCTGCTGTCTGGGAATGATGCAATCATTGAGGAATCTTGAAAGGAAAAATTAGCATTAATTGTCAAGTCCTGGGAGAAGTAGCTGTATCATTTGTTGTCCAGTCTCTGCATAATGGGAAAGTGCAGGGCTTGTCTCAAGTCCTGGCTAAAGTAATCTGTGAGGCTGGACCATTTTAGCTAGTTATCTTGAAACTGTCCTGAGCAGTTTGTAGTCCAAAACCAATCTTTAGGTAATATTTATCAGCTTAACGTTATAATCATAGTCCTGGAGAAATCATCATTGTGGGGCCCCATCCTTTTTTTTTAGAGACTTCAAAGATCTCTGTTAGGCATGGTTATAGTTCACTATAGAAAACTGATAGAGACTCAAACCTGAAATCATGTACAGGAAGGTAGATGAAAGCTTTTTCTAGAATTAGTTAGTACTCCATATGACCATTAATATCTTGACAAAAGTTTTATATGTATATATATGTATATATCTTATAGATTTTGAGATATTTATACCTTAAGAAAAGCTTTAAAGAGTCAAAATAAAACCAAAGGATTATGAGATTAGTGGCAATAAAATGGTCCCTTACCTTTGGTTTTTCTTCTACCCAATATGATGTGACTCTTCTGAAATGAGACAGAGATTCGGATTTTGTTTTAACAAGCATGCTTGGGTGTAGAGTAGAAGAAAGCCACACTCCAACTCCAAAGACAACTTTAATCTTTAATTGGACTAGGACTATGAAAGGACCATTTGCATTATATGTCTGTAGGGAACAGTAGAAACCAAACATTTGGGAAAACTTTTGAAATTTTATCCTATTGGAAATCTGATATATCAATAGGTCAATTTAATTTTTCTTGGAACATTTTTTCCTGATGGTTTTTCCTTTTTCTTCAAATATCTTTTGTTATCTCTTCTATATCTGTTCTATCATCCAGAGCAGTATGGTTTCTTACAATAGGCATCAAGTTCTTCAATTACTTGGGAAAAGAGTTTCCTCCGTGATTATAGGAAATTACTGAACAAAATTTGGCATGGGGGACTTCAAGAGACCACTGATGGCAAAAGGTTACCTTGACAGTCACTTGTTGATCTACATTCATTAGTTCAGTCCCTGCCTTTGACACACTTTCTATATAATACAGAAGGGAGGGCATTCTGTTTGGATTATGCTTAAAATAAATATTACTTCTAGGAACACCCTGTTCACAGTCCCTTTTCAATTGACCTTTTCCACTACAATTGAAACACTTGACATTTCAATTTTTCTTCAAATCTCTGGAAATCAACTCTCCTATCCAAGCATCATCATGTTCATGAGATTCAATATGGATTTTATCTCTAATCCATTCAACCAAGGGTGACTTAAAGGCTAGTTATTCTTTTGCATTGAGAATAAGCATTTTTAAATGTCAGAGATTCAATTATTATTTGTTAACTTCTGAATTTGGTATCATTCAATTTACTGTTGAAGTCATTCTTTGTAGGAATCCAGTTAAGGTTTCTTTCAGGCACTGCATGACTTTAGTAAATGACTCAACCTTCTTTCCCACTTCTTCAATTCTGTCCCAAGCATTCAAAGTTACCATATGGTATAAAAACAGGGTGTGGTCATTATAGTGATTGCTTTTCTATATAAGCATGATCTCCTTCTCGAATAAGTTGATTTTGGAAGATTTCCATATCAGTAGCTCTACATCATTGGTCAATGGTCTTAGCCTCTTCTTTCCACCAGGTCCTCCATTGTAATTGTAGACTATGTTCCAAGTCTGCTGTAACCAAGTCTCTCCAGTCTTAAGGGGTAATCCTGTTACAAGGTGACTGTAAATTTAACATCGGCTTCACAAATAGTGAGTACATGTCA